GAAGCGTGAGCCTCGCCACTCCAGGAGAGAAGTCGAGCGTACCGTCAATGCTGTTAGTACTTTGTGCTCTGAAAAGCATTGTAACAAAAATCATGCGAAATTTATGTGGCTGTCATTCGGCTGATGTAATATTCGAGTAGCACGTACAGAGCTACGAAACGTTAAAATGAAGCGAGTAATCGTAGGCACGGTCTCCTTAGCAAACGTAGGCCGTCGAGTCTCGGTCGGATGGCCACATGACATCTGGCGCTCCACAAACGCCGGGCCGGAACAGGCCGGCACCTGCTCTTTCAGACCAACCACCATCATCGCGCCGAATTTCAGAAGCTTGACCAAGCCCAGTCGCACTGAGTATACATGTGCGTGATTATGCGTCTACCTAGATCACTATACTGACGTTGTCGTCTTGTACAGCAATGACTCTGCCTCATGAATTGGAGGACGATGTGTTACGGGAAATCTTTACACACTTGGGCACGATCTACCCACCGAGCTGGCAGAATAGCCGCGTAGGCTCCCAGAATGCTTCGTTTTCGCTCGGATGGATATATGTGACCCATGTCTGCCGCCACTGGCGCGTTGTCGGGATCGACCTGGCGACGCTTTGGGCCGGCGTGGTCTGCAGTCTTCCGAACACCTCTGCTATGGATGTCCTGCTGCAACGTTCGAAAGGTTGCGTGCTCAACTTCGAGATAGACTCTGGACAGGCATGGCCGTACAAAGTTGTGTTCGCTCTGGAGCATGTTCAGCGAGCTGAGAGCCTTTCATGTCAACCCACGTATTGCTGGGATCAAGCTCTTAACAAACGATGCTCCCTTCCCATCTTACGACATCTCGCCGTGAACCAGGATGTCGATGACATGAACTTGCCACGTACGGCTACTTTAGTTCTGGATGCTCCTCAGTTATTATATTTGCGCCTAGAAAACGCGTTCTTTTACCTCTCAAACCCGTCGGACATCCTTCCCAACCTTCGCGCTCTTGAACTACAAGGACCATGCACTTTGCCTTATCCCGCCTGGGAACTTCTCGATCTTCTATTGAAGACCCCGCAGCTTGAGCATCTTCGCTTGCAGCTTCTTTTATTTCGCCATTCTCAGGGTGGCCTGTGGGATCAGTACCCGGGCGGACAGGTCCGACTTGTACACTTAAAGACGGTGACAATTACCGGCGGACCGCGCGCAGACGTAGCGGGTTTCTGGAGTCGCATCTACGCCCCGGATGATGTGGACTTCTACGCTTCCTTTCGGGCGGACCCGCCCAGCGAACTCGCAGCAGCACTCGATCGCCAGATCCGGTGTCCATCGCACAACACCATCGCAGTGAATCTTGCGCGCGCACGCCACCTGTCTATCTCCACGTTCAATCTTGAGCCTAAGGATCGAAGTCGGGTCATACTGGACGGAGGGGGTAGCGCGACACTCGCGCTCCTTGCGGACATCGAGAGCCATGCGCAGTTAGAGAACATGTCCCGCTTCAGCGCGCAGATCTATATACCGTACACGACGGCAGATGAGGCGCTCGCCAACCTTTTTCGCAAGTGCACGTCGGTCAAGGAGTTTATGCTGCATACAGATGACCCCGATAACTTCGCCATCCTCGCGCCTGACGATGGGACGCCGATACTCTTTCCCTCTCTTGCAACCCTGTCTGTCCAGTTCGACTCAAAGGCACTCAAGTCAGATGTGATCTATCGCCAGGGGTGGACAAAGCTGCGCAAGATTCTGCAGCAGCGAAGCGCGGCGGGCCTACGCGTGAGCACCTTGCGGCTCGATGGGCGCTGGGGTTGGAGGGACGCAGGGATAGAAGTGATCGACGAGGAGATGATGGATGATCTGCAGGACTCATCTCTGGTGGAGAAGGTGGTCGACGAGCGCTTGTGGTAACGAGGATTCGTGAGTGTCCGTGTGGGTCTCAGGCTGGGCTGGTATCTGATTCGAGTCAACTTAGCATATCGATATCACGAGCAACTTGGCTTGCAACCCCTATCATCCGCTCATCGAGCCCGTAGCGCGTAAGTACGTTCTTTCTTTGATCATGATTCTTATTCGAGGTGGCTCATAGATGATATAGACCACTGCGCGATGCCTACGGCCGCACTCTCGTTACCTGCTGTCGTGATATGCTCGATCTTCCTTCACCTCGGCCCAGGTTCTAGCGAGACGGACATCAACTGGGATGTATTCACCATTCCCGCCAGGCGCGTCGATTGGTTCACGGCCTCTCAGTTCTGGAGTCGGCAGTGGAGGAACGCTGCGTTGGGATTTTCCGAGCTATGGGATTAGAACCTCTGCGCCTTCGCTTGGCCTTCGCCTCCCAGGAGCCATCGAGTGCTTCCTCGAGCGCTCAATCGATGCCGCTCGTCTTTCAAACAGGCGAGCGCTTAACGAGATATCAGATGAAGCTCGCGATGAAGAATGCGTGCCGACTGAAGGCCTTTGAGCCTGGTAGGGTCTTGCCCATCTCCTACACCAAAGCTCCGAGCCAACATACATTATTACAACTGCACACACTGCCATTGGCTCGATGGAAAGGCTACGGAGATAACTCTATGACCGACCTTCGTTTAAAAGCACTCGTGATTTGCGAGCTCTCACTCGATAACGTGGAAAATATGACCATGTAAGATCAGTAGCTTGACCTTGTACAGATCCAAATTGAATACTAGTGGCAATCATTGAACTTCCCTTCGCGTATCTATGTCGTTATACATGTCGAGAATGAATACTTGGTCATATGTGGCGTGCATTAGATGTGCACTCGCACGTCTTACATACTGATTGAGCACTCGCATATTCTATTGGCTCAACTTAGAAGCATGTACTGATGGGATCATCAACAAAGCTGATGACACGCTGACACGCCGTTCGCCTGCTTGCTCCCGACCGCCACCACCTTAAAGTTACTCGCTCTGCCCTGCACTCTTCTTCAGGGTTTGCCTGACCGATACAAATTCAAAACCAATACAATGCCGATAGACATTGCCAATCTCCCGGCAGACATCGTTTGCGAACTTTTCATGCAGGCGGCGTCCATGGACCCTCCACGTTATCTGGGCGAGTATGAGCGGCGTAAACGTACAGAGCAAAAGCGTACTCTTGGGTGGATTCATCTGACGCATGTCTGCCACGGATGGCGTCTTATTGGTCTCGACCTTGCTCCCTTGTGGGCTGCCCTGGTCACATTCTTTCCGTCACCCTCCATCGCCGACGAGCTACTTTCGCGCTCACGCAATTGTGACTTGCGATTAGAACTCCACTCTCTTGGCGCACGCAACCTGAGCGAGATGAAAGCTTGGGTCTTGCAACATCTCGACCGCGCGTCGCAGTTGACTGTAGCTGTGAAGGTCAACCAGGACTTTTTCCAGGAGAAACAACTTCCTACACTTCGCACTCTCTTTGTCTATCACGATTACGGTCGTCAAACGATGATTGAAATAGATGCACCAGGACTGAAGGAGGTTCATTTGGCTGAGAGCACTGTCTTATTTCGCTCCACAATGCCACACTTGACTGTGCTGAATACCAGCCACACCTATAACACGCCGGTGGAGATGCTCGACATGTTGCGCTGTGCTCCTTTTCTAGAACGGCTAACAATCTTTCACGGTGCCCGCCACTGGTCGGGTGCTCTCCCGCGTACTATCGTAGAGTTGCAGCATCTGACCTTGTTCGATATGCACGCTACCGACGCGCGGACCTTTTTGGACCTCTGGGAGCACCTCTCTGTCCCACCGTCCGTAACGGTCAAAATCGTTACCAATAACATCCCGGACGTATCCTTCCTTCTATCCAGTCTTCACCCGCAGCTTAGCTGGTCGTCGTATGACAGCCTGATTATATTTTCGTCGGGATTCTCTCTGACGTACGGGGAGCCCGACGCGGCCGGCGATGACGAGCATGTATCAGGTCTCAAATGGCTGTTCGCTTCAGATCGCGACCTTGGGCTCATTGCTCTGGATCTTGTAGAGCAGTTGCAGTTGCACCTCGTCGTCGCGAACATACACCACTGCGAGCTCGAATTGCCATCCATTTTGAAAGAGCTGGACCGCGCAAGTGGAGAGCCTATCGCTCTGCGTTCGGATGTCGCGCTTCGCGCGTTGGCTGTCGCTCTGAAGAATACGACGGTGCTCGCACTTCAAGGCTTCGAGCCGGATCCAGTCCTTGTACGGGCTTTGGCACCACGTAATTCCTCGACACCTTTCCCCAAACTCCGCTCGCTTATTCTGGGCAAACACCGATGGTCGTGGGTATACAGAAATCCGTGGAATCCTGAAAATAAAGCCATAAAGACAGATTGGGCACTGATCGAAGCCACATTAACGGCGCGCAGACAGGCCAGGGCACCCGTGCAATGCTTGGTTTTGGCTGGTAAATGGTGTATTCGGGAGCCAGAGACGCAGTCATGGACCAGCCAGTGGGCTCAGTACAGTGCACAGTACCTCGAGCGGGATCTCGTCATGGAGGTGAAAGATGAACGAGTCCTTCAAGCCATCTGCAATATGTGCGATGACGGCGATATGCCTAGCCTCGAATCATGGCCGGGCTCCGATGGGGAACCAGCGTCCGATGAAGAGCTAGCGTCTGAAGTAGACTGAAGACTTGGATTGATCAGAGCCTGAGGATGAGGAGAAAGACGCGCCTTATGTGATCGCGAAAAGCCAGTACTTAGTCCTGCGGTTATGTTCAAACAGTACCTTACCTCTTCTACGTATAAGCACCAGCCGTCGGCGAAGGTTGAAGGCCATCAACCAGCAAAAAGTTGATTGTTATCCTGTCGAGCAACCAGGCTTTCAACACTGCAAGTGCCTAGCATCAGCCTGGCAGTGCCGGGAGTGCCGGGTAAGACAAGAACTGACATCTTAATTTCCTAAACATGATTACCGTTGGACAATGAACGTCCTCTGGAACTCGACTTTGGAAAGCAGCCCGAACACCTTCCTGCTTGCGCTCGAAAGGTTGCATTGCGACTATAGGATTATATTATGAATCCAACTCTACGCCCTCGTTGTCTAATGGTCATGACGTCGGACTTCTATTGCTCCGACAATATCCGGAGGTTGCGGGTTCGAGTCCCGCCGGGGGTACTACGCGGTTGTTGAGCCACCTTCCAATTTTTAGCTCGTTCTCCTCACACATGGGTTCTTTCTTTTAGTCCATACGAGATCGAGAAAAAGCTCGGGGTAGACCATGAAAAGATGTCTTCAAGAACAAGGCAGTCAAGTCGGCTTTGTGCATTCAAATTGAACGTCACTGTCCCATCGATCAGCGCGCACGGCTTTAAGACGAAAGACAAAGTAAAGAGTACATCGTAACGTATCAAGGTGTATAAAGTCTACATTCAAGAGCTCGTAACATATATCCACAAATCAAAATCTCAATGAAAGTGTATAGTTCGAACGAAAAAAGTCTCTGAATAAATCACTCCTCCTCTTTCCTCTCATCCTCTCATCCTCCCCACCTATAATGCTATAACCTCCCGCTCCTCCCGCTCCGAATACTAGTAGCATGCACCCCCCTCATCCTCAACCCAGCATACGCATCCGGCGGCCACGGATTCGCATTAATCGCCATCCTCGCGTCCACCTCCGCCCGTACACTCGGCGGCAACTCTCCCGCTCTCAAAAAGTACCTGTCCAGATCATCCGCCATTTCACTAGGCGGAGCCGGCGACGTACTTCCCGTTCTCCTAAGCGAATCAACACTTCCCAAGTCGACTTCACCACCACCTCCAGTGGGATCTACGGCTTTCTCTTTCCCTTTTCCTCCAAGCTTATGTATCCTCTTCCTCCTCGCACGCACAGGAGCCGAAACGGGCGTACCAGCCGCAGCAGCTTTAGCCGGTGCACCAGTCCTCACGGCAAAATGTTCCGGTACCCTCGTATAAGGCGATAACGTATGATTTGAATGCGCGAGCGTCGCGAGTCGGGGTAAAGCTCCAGGTCTCAACACGATCTTCCTATCGCCTGCGTCGGTTCCGGGTGATCGTGGCCAGGGTTCATCGTCAGGTTCAGGATACCATGACGAGCTCCCTGCGCGAGATCGTACGGGTCGTTCGCTGGATGGAGGTGTAGGTAACGAATGTGCCTGTGATGAGCTGGCGCTCGGTTGTGTTTGTGAATTCGAAGGAGCAGGCGATCGTGCGCGGCGAGGTGGAGAGTGGTATAATGGCGGCGTAGGCGGTACGGAGGGGATACCGAGTGGTATTCGCGGGTCTCTGGATGCGAGGCCTAATCCTGGGGAGAATGTCGGTGGTGTTACGCCCATGGGCGGGAAGTAAGGGTTGTAGGCTCCTGGAGGCATTTGTAGTCGAGCGAGAGCGGCGGGTGTCATTCGGGATATTCCCATATTCATGCTCATGCTGGCGCTTTGTGGGGTGTAGGGGTAGTTAGGTGGCGCGCGGGATACGGGTGTTAGAGAGACGCCATCTGGCGCGTGAACTTGGGATTGAGCGTGGAAGACGCGCGGGCGGGTGATTGTGCCGCCTCCGACGGCGGGCAGAGTTTCGTACTCCAGATCGTCAGGACCTAGCTCGGACGGGTCGCGGCTATAATCGTACTCGTAGTCCGGCAGAGTATCTTCCCACTCGACCATCCCATACGACTGTCCATCCGCCCCGTCCACATCTCCCTCGTCTTCATCTGCCGGTTCCTCGGCAAGATCTGCAAGTCCTCTTGCTGAGTTGTTGAATAGACGGCCAAAGGCGCCAAAGACAGATTTGGCGGGTAGACTGCCCGGTCTCAAACCATATGTAGGGTCGAAATTCTCGATATCGGGATGTGAAGATTCAGGTGCGTCGGGCGGTGGTAACGGTGTAGGAGGTTGCCGACGGAGTGCAGGGCTAGAGACGCGGGAAGGAGCATAGGAAATCGAAGAGGGTGCGCGTGGGCGGAGGGGATAGGGATAGGGTGGGAGTGTGGGAACGCTGGAGACGGATGCGGCGTAAGAGCCTTGCGGGCGCGGTCTTCGTGCCGGCGGGAAGGAGCCTATGCTCGACGGCGGCAGTGGGACGGCTGCTGGGGTCGGTGGAGGCGGTGGTGGGCGTTGCTGGTGGAGGTACGGCGCTTCGACTTTTGCTTTGAACCACTGCTGGCTGAGTCTATGGATAATCCCCGGCAAGTCCTCTCTGAACATTTGCCTGAGCTGGCCCTCGATTTCGCGCTGGATGAAGCTCTGGATGACGGCGATCGAGTCAAATGTCGAGTTGATGTCCACGTTCTGCAGAGGGTCCGTCTTGAACACGAGCGTGATCCCCTTCTGCTTCGACACTACCAGCACGACGTACGACGACAGCCGGAAATGGGACAGCCTCAGTAACATAGGCACAACCAATGCCTTTTTGGCAGCCAGCATCCCGCGCGAGCCAGTGAGGTTGTGAATGTCCGGCTGCTTATGGTTCAAAGGGTTCGCCTGCAAACGAAACAATATTTAGATTTAGACGGTCACACAAGCCAGAACACAAAACGCACCTGGACTTTGGTCCTCAACACGATATGCGCGTCTCCATCATAAGTCAACCTGAATATCCCGCGAAACTGGTCCGTCGTCAGGTCGCCAATATCCCGAATCTCCAGTTCAGGCGGCTGGGCTCGCGTTGAGGACATGACATCATGTTGAGCAGACAGCAAACAGTGCACACCTGAGTACCCATCTCGAGCTCGACGACCTCTATCCTGTCCGCTATCACAGGCGGCTTGGTCCCCTTGTTCAACGCAGAGTTGAGCATCGCGATGGCATCCGTGTGGAACTGCTCAGAGAAGCGCGGCCATTGGAACGAGAAGGACATGGCGCAGAGGCGCAGATATATGTCGTAGTAGTATCTTCAGCACGCGATGTAATAATCTAAGGAGTAAGTTGCATTGTTCAAGTAGAGAGGGATAAACAGGGGAGAGGCAAGGTGGGTGTACGGGTGGAAGCAGTCCTTGCAACGGCGACGGCGGTCTCATTTCCGGTCGACGCGCCTCGAATTTCATTGAGCCCGCACCGATCCGGTAGCGCGGCCTCTCGGCTTGCCTCGCCCCCTTCAAATCAACATCAACTCTCCCGTGACTGGCTTGTGGCGCTCCGTACGCACACCGCGGTAAGTCCAGGCTTGGGCGAATGCGCTAGCGCTGTATTGTGGCTGTCACAGGCGGAGGACATCGGGTCAGGACGGCAAGCCGCGATGCTCCTTCGCTCCGACTCCCATCATGCCAGTGAGACGCG